TAGGACAGAACATAAAGAAGAGATGAGAAACTCAGAAGGAGTTTCAAACGACACCAAGGAGTGTCCTTCAGCCAAACAGCTGAAGGAGGCAGTACTTCTCCAGTCCAGAAGAGCAGGCAACTCAGCAAGACCCAAGAGCAGGGAAGGACACCTGCTTTTCTCTACTGCAGGCTTATGTCAGTCTTGCTGTGTGTCACTAAACATAAGCCACTGTACTACCACTGGATCCTAGGCTGAAAGGTTTACAATGAATAAATGAGCTAAGACCTTCAAGCCCAAATATTGTCATCACTTCCCAAATAGAAAACAAGAAGGTAAGCAATTATCTTATCTCACTAAAGGCAGCTTCAACTTGGAAAAAGTGAAAAGTGAGGCTAATATTGGAGGGGAAACCAACTTCCAGAAAAACCCCTCAAGCTTCTTCTAAAATGACTAACTGGAGAAGAATGACTCAAAGAAATTAAGTGGATCTTAAATCACATTTGATTTATTTACTTCTGTGTTCACTTCACATTATTCCCACAAGAAACTAACTGATGTCCCTCAGGTCCTGTTTGGGAAATTGTAAACAGCTCCACCTCTTCTCCCTGAGACTTTCCATTTGTTGAGTGTAGCTCAGAAGAAAACTGAAAAACACTGTACAGGAAGAACTGTATATACTAGTGGTTATAATTTCAGGTCCAAGCTCATTTTAGTAGAAAAGGAATCTACCTAAAGGGACAGATATCCTCCCCTCATAATACAGGGATGCAGGACACACACCATGATTTAAACACATCTGACATCATCGGTATCACATTTTCCTGCTCAGATCTGGGATTAGAAGAGACACTGTTCTCCAGATAATTAAATCAACATGGAAGTCAGCTTCAAACCCTTCCAGAAAATGTAAGATGGGTTTTAAAAGTAAATAACATTGTTTAAATAAAATGAATTAGCCTTCTGACTTCTGAGCATTTGAACCAATGCATTTAAGTTTCTTCCCACAAACATGACAGCCAGAAAAAAACATTTAAAAATTACATCAGAGATTCTAACAATCACTTGTTTCTGAGCTTTTTACATTGAGTATCACAGGGTCTGCAATGAACTGTGAAGATGTGGCATCTCTACATGCAGCACAACTTCTGGACTTCCTTGAGCTGCCCTCGAGGAGTCTATAGATGTTTTGGATATAGATGTTCCTTGAGCATACCATATGCAGGAGCTCCTGGCTGTGTGTGTGAGCTACAGCCAGTTACCTACACTTCCCAAAATGCACACTTTCATTTTTAAGTTTCACCTAAGTGCACAGAGCAATGCAATCACAGATTGGGAAGAGAGATCCATCCACCCCTCCAGCTTGGCACCGCACAATACAATGTGTATTTTCAAAGCATAACTTCAGAAAACAATGCCAATTTGCTGAGGTACATCATTCAGAGATCCAGTTAAATGTTTCAAATCAAAAACTTCATAGGAAATATTTCACACGTTACTCATATTAGCTGAGAGCATGTGAAGGGTTAAAAGCTCAACTATGAGAAACATGTAGGTAATTTTATATAATGGCTGCAATTTCATACATAGTAATAGTAGCTGGATTATCAAATGATCAGCTATACGTATAACCGGTCATTTGCATTTGGAGTAATTATGACTGGAACATAATCACAGTAAATAGCCTTGCTGTTGGCTCTAGGTGTAGCTGAAAACTTAGCTATACAGTTTTGTATTTCAAAGCAAACTATGTGGAAACCAGAAGTTTACCCCTCATGACAACAGTCTAGGGACTGTGCCTTTCTTTTACAACACCTGATGCTGCTGTTTACACTAAGACAAGGCAAAATGACTTGAAATATTCTTGCCTGCCACAATCGATTTCAAGAAAAAAAAATGAAAGTGTATATTTAGAAGATAATTAAGCTCTTTGTATATACCTGAAGCAGTGCCTTTAACATATATTTGGGGAAACACAGTAGTCACCAAGAACGGAGCTTCAAGGCAGATTGAGCCATATTAGTGCTAAGTTATTAGAGACTGAAATATAACATTAGCATAAGCTCATAGGAGGCCATAGATTTGATTCAACTTCCGCCAGAGCTGAGGGAAACATTGCACCTGGGCTTGAGGAAGCTTTGGATTAGTTATCACTGCATGCATGCACCAGTCTTCAGTGTCCTGGTCTGAGTGGATGCACGTGTTCAGCGCACACTGCCACAAGCCTCTGCTTTGGCACTGCAGCAAGGTCAGCACGTGGTGGTATGGGTGCATGTAGTGTTGCTCTTCTCCTTCTGCTGGGAAGCCCACCTGGCAAGGGGCCCACCTGTCCTTCTGGCTGATGTCATCTATATCACACCTCCTCAAGGCACTGGGAAACATGGGGTGGACCATCATTCGAATCTTTGAGGCAAGACTGTCTCTCCTATCCCCATTATGGGCTGCGGTGGGGGAAGAAATGTTCTCTGCTCCTCTGATACGGGCTGTCTAGTATCAGCCTTGATACCACCACCTTTTTGCTGGCTGGTTAAAATACTGGTTCCTGATAACTCACTTCTTTTGCAACATTAATAGCTTCCATGCCTGCCTTAAAATATGACTAAATAGAGCCCAAATAAATTTAAATTTGATGTCCTAATGTCTCAGTGCCTCTGGATTCTGATGTTATGAACATACATAATGTATAATCATATAATATATATACATATATATAATATAATATATAATATATAATATATAATATATATAAATATATAATGTATAATAATGACAAAATGACAGCTGCATGTTGTAATTCAGACTTTTATTGCAAATAAATTTTGAAACAATAGTGTGGTACAGTACATTTCTTTATATCTTCTGTTTTAACTTGGCTTCTAAATGTTTTTTTTTGTTTGTTTGTTTGTTTGTTTTTGAATCTACAGCAACAGCAAAACCAGTTTTACATGGTGTTTTATAGAGGTCACATATACTTTGAGTGGAAGTTGGGAAATAACAAATACATTTGTATATGTGGTTTAATGAGGTTTAAAAAGACCTGCTCAGGTTGCAGACCTTTTAAAATGTATATTTGATTATTTTTCCCTAATAGAAAATATCCTTCCAAATTGGATTCCAGTACTCTGTTACATATAAAGAGAAAATGAGCACATATTTAAAACATGTTGGAGGAAGACTAAGAGAGATGGAGAAGACTGATGATGATTTGATATAGCTTTAGTTTAGCAAGAGAGTTTAGTTGATAGTTACTGAAGAGACATTTTAGTTATGACTGAAGATGTATGTAGCACTTAGAAATGCTGTAAATTGCTATTTTTATATGGGCATTATGTAATTACTGTCCTAAAACACATCTTTCATTTTTACTGCATTGTTTACTAGGCTGGTTGTAAATTCTGAAACATCTTTTCATGTTGATTGTATTTAAAACTTACGAACTTAATTTGTAAGTCACTTTACTAGTGATGCAGATGGAGCTACACCCCTATTTGGAAAATCCCTCTTACTGCCCTTTGGAGCTGGATGGCTTTGGTGTGCACTGAAGTGCCTCCAGCTGGGTACTGAGGTGCCTGAAATCCAGTTTTCTTGCCTCAGGAGGGGGACTGACAGTGCAGAAGTTCAAGTCCCTGTCCTGGTGAGATGGGAACCCCCCAAAAGGCAGGTGGAGAAGAAGGCACCCACAGACGGCCAACAGCATTCATGTTTATCTGCACTGGTGTTGCAGGCAGTGGTCAATTAATTATTCTGTTAGGTTTATAGCATAATGTAAGTCATCTTACAAAAGGAACTGCCAAACTAAGCAAAACTCCCAGGAGCAGTACTGGTATCCATCTTCCTGACAAAAATGGGTTTCAGCTCCCTACCAAGCTCAAGGAGGTGCAAACCCTCAGCTTTGCTCCCTGAAGAGCATGCTCTACATACAGCAAAGAAATAAAGATATCCTGGACTGAGGTCCTCTCCCTCCCAGCCCTGAAGCAGGCTGGAAAGATGAAAAACCCATGCCATGAGCCATGTGCAGCCTGTCTCTGGCTCCGAGGGCAAATGCACCAATAGCCAGACTGTGTCTGCCATAGGGATTACTTCATGAGCCCCAAAGAAGAAATGATGAGTATTTCTGTATGTCTGCATGTTGGATATGTAGTTTCCTGAGTAAAGCCAAAAATATATTTTTATGTTAAATATTTAAATTTAAACATTTAAAATTTATAAATATTTTAAAATTTGTAATATATGGATTTATAAATTAAATACATACATCTATATATACACATTTGTATGGATATATAGATATTTTTTTTCACACTGATTTCTTCTCAAGAGAAAAGGTATTGAATATTTTGCCAGGATTTTTCTAATCTCTAATAAATTCCTGGCAGAACTACTGTATTCTAACTGAACTACAACCTTTGAAGACTCTGAAGTGCTTTAGGCATCACACAAATGCAAGGATTATGAAGTTGGGTAAGAGCTAGCTTCATGCAAGGAATGATGCTATTATTTTTCTTATTTTGACTAAGATTTCTCCTCAGCATTTTTTTTCCTGAAAGCTTCTAATTTACAATATTTTCAAGTCTAATTACTTCAGATTGTGACCTGTCATATCAAGCATTTATTTACATATAAAACAGACAGTAATGCATCTGCTTAAGAGCAAGAACCCATCACTGTTCCTTAAATGCCACAAAGCAACATAGCTTTCTTCATGAAATCTGTGCATGGGTCACAGCTCACAAGCTGTCATGTTCAGAACATGCATTTACATAATTTTGATCATGCTATGGGACTTAAACAGACTGAACTGTTTTGAAACAGGGCAAAAACCTTTTGTAAAGCACAGAGACAATGGATTACCCTATGATTGATGAAACCAAAGCAGAAACTCAACTGCCTTCACCAATAGACACAAATTAAGCATGTTTGGGAATGTGAGGTGCTTGGAAACCCAGGGCAGAGCAGGTCAGGGAAGAGCTCATCAGCAGGAAATCTCCCCCCTCCATCCCCGAAGTGGCTGGGAAACATTAGAAAGCTCTAAGGGTCAGATTGCTCACAGCTGATGCTGGCAAGCATCTACCCACATAAATACTGCGGTGACTTCAGTAGAATTACTGGTGTGAGCAAGGGCTCATGTGTTACAACAGGGTTACACTGTCTGTCCCTGAAACAAGCAAAATGATATTCTGCACCTTTTCAGCATCTTTTATCTCAGGTTCTCAGACTCAGGCACTTACAGCACTCCTATTATTATCAACCACTTGGCACCTGGAAATAAAACCACAGCTGATACCTCTTCTCTGCATTTACTGTGAGCAGCCTGTTACTAAATTGTGAGAGTGTGAGCCTGGGAGAAAACTTGCAGATACCAAGCATCTGGAACTGAAATATGCCGTTTTGCAGCAAATACTTACAAACCAGAAAACTGAGTCACGGGAGAGTGAAAAATCTGCTAAGGCCAAACAATGAGTCAAAGAAAGGGTCAGAAAAAGTTTCAGGTGTTGTGAGTATATAATCCTTGAAATAGTAACAGACAGTACTTTGTTGTGATAATGATGGCGACTTATTACAGAGGCAGAAGTTGGCATTTCAGTTTGCAGGCTTGAATTCAGGTAAGTATCTTTCATGGTTATGACCAGAATCCCAAACACACCACTTTTTGTTGGTTCCACAGACACATATATGGTGCAGCAGAACTAGGCCTCAGTGCCTTGTTGCTTCATTTTTTAAAAGCAGGGCTCATTTTGGGGAGTTTGTGGGACTACTGCATGTTCACAGCTCCTGGGTAGCCTGGTTCTAAGAGGTGGGGTCAGAGTCATGCTTAAAATGGATGTGTCGACACTCCATCTCCACCCCACCCAACATTTCACTGAAAAAATATCACAGGTTTCAACGAGAATACACTTTTAGCCTGTGAGACAAGGGGAAGCCAGAGAGGGGAAATCCCACAACAGAGGGACACGTGTGTGCGCCGCTCTTTCAGAGGGATGGCACAGTCATCAGAAGCGCTTTTAGGCTGTCAAGTTGAAGGATCTAATGCGTTGTGCCACAATTGGGTTGGTGTTGTCATTATTCTTTTATGTGGCATCTTCCTTCCTCCCTGTGCACTCTTGTCAGCTGTGTGCCTGTACAGGAGCACTGCAAAAGCTGCTCACTCGTATGGGACCAACAGCACTGGGGTCAAGGGGAGGTGGTCAGAGCACTGAGGTTGAACCCACAGCACAGGCAAAGCCGTCACTTGGAGGATGCAATGATGAGACATGATGCAGAGATCACCCATTGTGCACTTCGGTGCTGTACAAGTCCATTTGTTCTATCAGACTTGGGCCAGGTTTGGGAAAGATTTGAAATAAAATAGACTGAAAAAAATCACATGCTACTGAGTGAGGACAACTGCATTTAAAAAATGGCTTTTGGATGGTATTTGAATCTTTAGTCTGTGAAAAGAAAATCTGATATTTATATCTAATAATATATAATATTATCTAATAATAATAAGCCCACTTATAAAGTCTTTTTCTGTTTCTTTCTGATTCTGAAAGCTCTTTCTGAAGACAATTAAACACTATGAGAAATGCACAGCACTCCCTTTTTTGGTGTCAAATGAAGTGGCTTCAACTTTGACATCACTTTGATATTTTTATGGTTCCTTCAAACCCAGAAGATGTTGGAGGGCTGACACACTCTCAAAGATCAGAACCACAGGCAGATCTTCCACAGGTCCTTGTGAGGAGGTACTGCAGACTTGACTGCAGTGCTGCTGTTCCCAATTTTAAATACACCTCTCCTCCACGCACTCTTTCTAGGCAAGTATTTTTCAAATTCCTGCTGGAGTGCTGTCAAATGATTAAAAATGTCATGGAGTTGTTTCAGAATTGTATGATGTTGCCAGAGGAATGGCTGCATGATAAGGCAGTAACTTCCTTCATATTAAAGTAAAAATTATCAAGAATCACTGGATAATTTCAGTAATTCCCTGAAATTTGAGAGATCGTGCCCTGCATATAAAGACAATCAGCAGAGTCAGGCTGCTCATATATCTGCATGATGGGAACTGGTCACAAAAGGGATCCTGTGAAGGACTCCGGTCATACTCATACATCCAGCCAAATACTTCCCCTGCACCAGAGCAATCCAAAAACAGAAACACTGGATAGTCTCTGGCTTTACTTACTGATGCAATAGAGATGCTGTGCGGACAGGACGAAAGGAAACTAGACAGAGAGGGTACAAGATATAAACACCCATGAAACCATGGAAAGAATAAATCCAACTGAGCAAATGGTTAGGAAAAAAAAAAAAAAGGAAACTCTTGGAGACGGGCAAAGAGAAGATGATTTGCAATGCTGGAGAAAAGACAAGAGACTAGGCTGGTGAAGGACAGTCAAGCTGAAGAAAGAGAAGGAAGGAAGCATCAGGAGACAGGCAAAGACGGGAAATAAGAAAAGAAAGGGGGAAGACAAATCCCTGCTACTCAGAGTGACTCCGTGACTCCTCAGTGAAGGCAACTGCTTTTTCAGTGCGTGATAGACTTAATTTGCCATGAATGATAGATTGGAGAAGAACTTCACTTTTCAATACATACTGTGAAATGTTCCCTGCTCAGCCGTTCCTGTAGAGTGGGGAAAATGGCAGGAAATCATTGTGAACAACAGAGAGTGTTATTTTGAGGGAGACATAATGGCTTGTTTGGTTTGACATCCAAAACAGATATAACTGCGACAAAAGCATTTAAATGCTAATCTGTCATTTACAGCGGGTAAACAAAAACTAACACGCATAAAATCTGTGGTACTTGTGAGCGAGAGCTCTAGAAGCCTGAAATGGTGCTTAATTTAGAGAAGACAGATATCTCTTTGCAGACAGAATTTATACCTGAAATGTATTAATGTCAAGAATAAAATTTAGGTACTCAGACTTCTATTTCCTGATGGCAAATTTGGATCATACAGTTAGGAACACTGAAGGGAGCTATTTTTCATTTGCAGTTTCCATATTTCTTAGAGATGAAAATATGCAGGCAAATATTTTCCTGGAGCAGTTTACACCTGCTAGAGAAAAGCAGTGCCTCAGTCCTATCAAAATGTACTTGATATGTGAACAAATTTAATAGATCACAAACAGATCCTAGATTAATCACACGTTCACCTTTTGTACAAGTTCTTTTCCACAAAGCAATGCTAACTCTGATCGAAACCCAAGGAAGTAAAACACAACAATTCAGTTGTCTTCTCCTTGTAACATGGTGTGGTTTATCTGCTTATTATCTACTGACATGGCTTCTATCACCCTGATTTCCTTGTAAATGCTGAGTAGCTTTTACAGAAAAGTTCCATCCATCTGGATCTGACCTTGACATGGAGAGACAATCTACGACAGAACTGATTTTAGTCCTGGGCCTTCACGTCATAACAGTCCTTTGCCTTTCCATTATTTACACTCTTCTATATCACAAGAAAGAGTGAAGAACTGCATTTGCTTGTGATCTCAACGTTTTATAAATAATTATGTCCTGTTTAACAAATACAGGACCTTGCAGTATAAATGTGAAACTTCTCTTGAGATGGCAACTTTCTGAAGATCCTCAGGTGGAAGGTTATTTGCTCTATGCCACAGGCAGATGCTGGTTCATGGGAGGTCTCTTTCTAAACATCCCTCATCCAATGTGAAGGAAGGCTATGCTTTTGGTACATTCTTCAAAATGTGTGTCAGAATCATCTGACTAGAAATCTTAGGCATATTCAGAATGAAATCATCTACCGTTTCTCTTGAGATATCTATCCACAGGAGAAAATGTAATCATCATCACCAAAATTTGATGTTCTTTGTGATACTCCATTTGTGTTTGTGTCCTGCATTTGAAAGCATAGATAGGATAAAGATCTGCAGGAGCACCAAAAAAGTTACCAGATTGATTTAAAGTACCCAGTTTCAAGGTATTCTAGAATGGTTTTAAAACTTCTCTATTGAATAAAGCAAACCCAGTATTCAATCTTACTTTTGAAAGTCTGTGAAATCATTATATTGCTTCAAAAATGTTTGACTATACTTGTGAGGGCTTTGATATTGCTCTTTCAACTGACAAACATAATCTCATGGTGTGTCTAAGCCTCTCCACATAGATCTTACAAGCTTTACTTGGTTGTCAATATCCTCCCTTGGGTTTCATGACCTAGGTACAGTGAATACTTCAGGACATCCAGCACATGGCATCAGACATCTTGATGACACCAAACCTTGCACACTGCTGTTTAATGACCTCTTGTATTATTTTTGGCTGTTGACTTTCTAAACCCATCAAAGCAGATTACAGCCACTTATAGTGTGCATGTCTTCTGAGTCCTCTGCTCTGCTTAATTCAGCAAGGAAATCACCTTATCTGTCAGATATTCACTGTACCCCAAAATCTCTCTAAAATACGTCATAATCCTTCAGTTGGTCTAAGAAAGGATCCACTTTCAAAGATAATTACACAAGGTGTTTTAAACTTTTTGTTTTTGTTTTTACATAATGGGACATATTTTATTTTTTAATTCTATTCTGTCATTCAATTCACCACTGTCAATACAGTCAGATATGAACACAGGTGGCAGAATAGCACTTTTAGCTATATATTTCAGGGCCACACATTTGTAAAGTTACTCCAAACCAATATGACATTATTAACATGCAGAAAACAAGCCCAGGCAATACCGGCATTCATATTTCTCTGATAGACATAATTCTTCATGGTTTTGCGTGTTTATATGCATGACATTTGCTGTGATTAATACAGTTGTGTTTGTCTTGCTTTAGACAGTCACTTTTTTTTTTTTTCTTCTCCATTGAGAGGGTGATTACAGAAGACTTTCTGAGAGCTGCTGCATCCCCATCCTCTGTTTTTGCCCCTCTTCTCAGGTGAAGAAAAAATAATAGGAATAAATATATACATTACTGTTGTAGCAAAGTCAATGCTCTACCATTGCCCAAGTATTGTTTCAGAGTGTGTCACTAGTGCTGAACAGCACAGGCACAAAAATAATTTTGTTCGACCCTTTTGCTTCAACATATCTTTGCTCTGGATGTATTGCCTGTAACCACCAATCAAACCTTGTGAAAAAATGCTGAGCTAAAGAGAAAGAAAACTTTTTTTTTTTTTTTTTTAAAGCATCTGTTAGTGTTTTGCATTAGCAAGGAGGTTAACATAAGTAATATATTTAGTTGTTTTGTTTTTTCCTCAAAGAGAGATGACATGCTGCATTTTTGCAGGAGAATTTACTGCCACCTGACTAAAATTAGGCCACATTTCTGCTTTATGTCATTATCTTGGGAAGAGTGTGGGAGTTTAAACCTATAATCTCTGCATACATAGAAAAAGGATGAAGACTATTCCTAATAAATGCAACAGCTTCAGAAATTCAGGTCTTAGCATTTGACTCTTTTTTTAACGAACTCAAAACATAGGTGCTGGAAAGTAAAAGCCTTGAGGGAAGAGGAAGGAAAAGTAACCAAGTGTATGTACCATATGGGTATTTAATGTATCTGCCAACCTGCTGTTTAACCACTCTGGAGTCTTGTAATACTATTAGCTGAAACAGACGCGTGCACATGGTTATCAGACGTCACTGACGGGCTAAGAGACACACTGTGCCGGTAAGCCCCAGCACTTCAGTCTCACCGCTGCTGTGTGAGAGCTGATTTAGCTCTTGCTAGTCATACTTTCAGATGGCCAGCTATTTAATAGATAACGAAACACTGCTAGGTGGTTTGATAGATTTTCTGATTTTCCTGAACATCTGAATGCTTCACTGTGTTCCTTCAATATTCTTCAAAGTGAGCTCAGAGCCCAGAGCCTTTGTAGTATGCCACTGGCAAACTTAACTGGGGGAAGAAACAGGAGCTCTGTTTCTAGTAAATAACACCAGTTCTCAACAGGTTTGTGTGGATCTGTCAGTGACAATGTCAATTTCTAGCCCTCAGACCAGTATTTCCATGGTAGCTTTACATGTTGCAGAATATTGCATGCTGCCTCTCCTTCCTATGATAGACAGTAAACTCAGAGAGGCAGGAAGTAACTAGCTAATCCAAACCAGGGTCAATGTCATTTTGTTTGGATCTCACCTCACTGCAGCCAGTTGCCCTGTGTCTTTCCAGAAGCGAGCTCTTACCATGAGCTCATGTTATAAAAATGGGTGCAAGGCAATATTAAAATGTGATGAAAAATATCTCAGTTTCCTTCAGATGCCTATTTCCCGTCAGCCTGAAAAATTAAGGTGCTTCCTCACCTACCTGACATGTCTGTCTATCTGTAAACTTGATATTCTATGTTCCAGGTCTATCATAGGCATGCAGTTTTTAATCACGACACAAATCCATGATATTGATATCCCTTGAATGGCCATAAGAGTCATAATGACTCTTATGAGCCTATTGAAAGTTATCTGCTCTTTTGATTTGCCTCAAATTCTGTACTAAACTCATGAGAAAGTATCTATCATAGAACAGAATCATAGAATCTTTAAGGTTGGAAAAGACCTTCAGGATCATCTAGTCCAACTGTCCACCTACCACCAATATCACCAACTAAACTATGTCCCTAAGTACCACATCACCCCTTTCCTTAAACATCTCCAGGGATGGTGATTTATATGGGCAATCTGTTCCAATGCCTAACCACTCTTTCTGAGAAGAATTTTTTCACAATTTCCAACATGAACCTTCCCTGGAAGAACTTAAGCTTGTCCTATCACTATCTTGTCCTATCACTATCTTCTCACTTCTTGTGAGAAGAGGCTGACCCCCAGGTTCCTTTCAGGCAGTTGTAGAGAGCAATAAGCTCTCCCCTGAGCCTCCTCTTCCCCAGACTAAACAACCCCAGTTCCCTCAGCCGCTCCTCATAGGACTTCTGTTCCAGGCCCTTCATCAGTTTCATAGCACTTCTATGGGCATGCTCCAGGGCCTCGATGTCATTTCTGTAATGAGGGACCCAAAGCTGAACACAGTACTCGAGGTGCAGCTTCACCAGAGCAGAGTACAGGGGGGGATTGGATTTAATGGATGTGAGAAAGTTTTCAGAAATTCCTGACAGACTGGATCACATCTCACAAAAGGAAAAGCAACTGTGACCCAGAGAGCATATAAACAGAAACCATTCATCTAAAAGCCAGAATACAGCAAGGCTCCATTATGAGACCAATTTTGTATTAGGAAAGCCCTAGTTTCTCCCAAGGCTATGTCATTTCTCTATTATCTTAAAGTCAAGAGCAGGTATCTGTAGAACAGGTACAGATGTTCCTCTGTTTCTCCATGAAATTATTAACTAAATAGCCAAGATAACAATTGTGCATCTCTCTGTACATATGTACAATCTTGCGTGTAGATTGTGTACTTGTTTGTTCATGGGTGAATATGTGTGTGTATGCTCATGACAACGGCTTTTCAGTAAAATTAACAGGGCAAGCCCTGCAGGCCCTAATTAATTTTTACTGCACAAACCCTTGGCAAAAAGTTCTAATTTCCTCCCATTTAACAGCTTGGAATCGAATGTGCTCCATTTCTGCACAAGTCAAAATCTAGCTTAATTGTTTTCAGCCATAATAGGAATGTTAGTCCACAATGAAGAGTGTTTTTCTTATTCAGACCCATCTTTGACTGTGGGCTTAGTGCAAGATTAGAACAAAGGACTTGAGTTTAGTGGCCTTTATCTTGTCAGAACAGCTGTGAATAAGAGAACTTGTAATATGCAGTGATTTCTAAATTTTATCCAGTAGAAAAGTAGAAAAAGTAGAAGTAGAAAAATATATTTTAATAATACATTAATAAATATATTAACTAAAATATATATTAACATATTCTACTTATTAATAAATAAGTAGAAAATATATAATTTCTGGGCTTCGTCTGATGCTAAACCATTTTCCATTCTTTCCTTATGTCAGATGCCCTTTGATCTTGCTCATTGTTTTGCTGC